TTTGGCTGACATTTTTATTTGCATGAAAGAGTAGAGGAGATGTTTAATATACGCTTGAATACATTCACTGCAGACATTTTTTAACCTCTTTTTTAAAGAGGTTATTTTTGCATGATAAAACCTAACTGCAGAGCAACTTTTTACCTCCTTATTCTCCAGAAGATTACATCTATCTGATCTAACATTGTTTTAAAATAGAGAAATTGGGAAGTCAGTTTTACCACCCCCAAAATGTTACATTTGCTGCTTCATTTTTTTTAATAAAACAGCCAACTATTTATAACTTTTTCAATTCCAATAGTAAATTTTAAAATAATAGCTTTTTTCTTGAATAACTACTAAAATTTAGTTATTATTTCCAAAACATCAGTGAAAATGCCCAGAGGATCAGATGTTTCTATTGTTTGAGTAACCAAATCATTTTCTTGCAAGTTGAGAGTAGTAGAGCCAATATTATGCTATTTAAAATTCATGCAACTGACTCAGGCTCCACATGGACATTAATTTGAGACTGCAATAAAAAGTGCAGTTGGTAAGACTCTGACCCTGATGGTTGTAAAGCCAATAACTTTGCAGTTGAATAAGGTAAGAATTGCTGATAAGACCTAGCCCTCTCCCCTATCCTCCTATGCTCTTAAACATTCATACTTTGTGCACCTATCCGTACCGTACCTCCCAGTCTTTCCTAGATATCAGGACCATTTAAAGGGGAATAAAAAGTGATTCATCTTCTTCAAACTAGAATTTCAAAGCATAATATTACACTATGTTCCAGCTATTGAGTTTTGAACAAAAACTTATTTAAGCATGCCTTGTGTTTAAGGGGAAATAGTTGATGTGTGAATGGAATCAATCACCTGTTAGTGGGAAGGGTGTCAGGATGATGGGGGGGGGCGGTGTCTGCCCTTAATTGGGTAAAAATAAACATATTAAATTAAATATAACTATTTTGCTGGTGCCATAGAAATATTTCCTTTGGAATTCTGTAAATATGAAATGTTTTCTTAAGCTAAAGTTGGTATTTTTCACTTATTACTTTGGTATAATACTGACTTTTGAGAAGAATCCCATTTTTACATAACATTATTATTTAATCACCAATAGAAGCACCATTTCTTAATTTTAAGATTTTTTTAAATTTCTTTTGTTTTTTAAAATTACTTTTTAAAGTTATCAGATTTCTCTAAGCAGTGTGATTTTTAAACATATTTTAATGATAGATTCAGAATTTTTTAATAGTTTGAAGTACATTATATTACAAAATACAGATTCACTTACTCAAGCTTAAATTTGGTCATAGAACAGACTATACATTTAGGAATATGTTTCCTATTTTGGTGGACAATTCCAGTCTATATTCTAAGACAATCATCTTTTTAGGTGTAATATTGTTTATTGAGAATAGGTAATTTCAAGTTTCAGATTTTTACTTTTTTCATAAGCTTATGGAATGAAAGTTAATAAGCCACGTTATTAATGTATCACTTTCAGAATGTGGTATGGAATTATGGCTGCAGTAAATTATATTTAAATTTTTATGTTTGGTCATGAATATTCTTTTCTCATTTGAAGCTGTTGTGAATGTCTGCTTGTCCATGATTAAAATTTGAGATTTGTAAACATTACAGTTTAACTCATAAGTTTTCTCAAACATGAAATCAATGAGTGAGCATTATAAAATGTGAAATGATCCTATGTAATAATCCCAAAGTAAATACTTCTAAACCATAGAGAAATAACCACTGTATTTTTCAAATCTTACTCCTACCCTCCTTTGCATGCTGTTAATTGCTTTTCTAAATTAAAAGTATATATCATGGTGTATTAAAAATATTCAGGACAAAAATCCTTAAAGTGTTTTAGTACAATAAGAATTTTTATTACTATTTCCTGAAGAATTTTTTTAAACTCCTATTTCTTTATTATATCATTAAAAAGACCTTCTATTGATTCAGTAAAATAACTTACATGATTTTTTTGGCTTTTAATAGTTTACCTGGATGCACTCCTTTTGCCTCGTAATCCACAAAGCTAATTCTTCAACAGTTTTTGTGTTCTGTTCATTTATTTGATTTTAATAAACCTTGCTTTTCAACAGAGAGACCTTTATTTTGGAGGATCCTTTCAGTTGCAGTAGCAAAGTCTGAAATAAACAGGAAAGACAGAATGTCCTAACATTTTCATAGTAGAGTTTATAAGTGAAAGAATTAATCCGTATAGGTTATCTTCATGGTCTAGGGCCAGTTTAAATGGTGGTTTCATTAATCATTGAATCAAATGAAGCAGTTATAAATTATGTTTTGCTTTGTTTTAAAGATTGTAAATTCAGGCCACTTTGTTTTCACTGAGCAATTTTCATTGTAAAGTCGAGTTTCCTTTATTACTCAAATTATCACTAAAGGTTAAGATAATCACATAGGAGTTAAAATAAGTTATGTTTGTCTTTTTCCCCTGAAAATAATGGTGAACCTATTGTCTACAGTACAAATATTAGGCAGAAATAACTTGTTTAAATCATAGCAGTAATTACATTTGGAAGATATAATTACTTGATTTTCTAGTGTTGTGAAATATTTTTTTAAAAATTGTGCTTGTAACAAATGTTATGGAATTGTAACACTATAAGGATTATAGAGTTATATTCATTAGCTCTCTTCAAGAGATTGAAGCACAATAATTTTCATGTAACAAATCTTATCCAAGTGCTGCTAATCTGTTGTGTTAACAATGAAACTATTTGGTTGCCTAGCTGTTCACAAATCACTATAATCCTTGGAACATAGTCTTGTTCATTTGTATTAAAATTTGGGTATTGTGGGTTAATACTTTAGAACAAAATCCATGAACTCAGCCCTATTAGACAACAAACTGTTTGGACTCGTTAGTTTTTGTATGTATCATTAGCAGAATAAATTTTGAAGGAGTTATTTACTACCAGTGACTAAGGGGGATAATTATATCATCTATATCATTTCACTTGAACACCATGGTATTGTAAAAGTCTTGTCCATTGTGTTTCTAAATTACTTAAGCCATACATTCTTTTAAAGCTATTGTTTCGTTCCTTTTGTTAGCCTTTTTTCTGCTTTGTCTGTTATGGTTAATACTAAATAGATTTTAGAAATTGAGAAGTTCTTGTAACATTTTATTCTCTGGACTTCACTTCTAACTCTTGTGTGATATGTGACTTGTCATAAAAGATAGCAAGCCTTTCACTACTTCACTAAATGAATTTCAGAGTAAACACTGTGATTCTGCAGAGCGCAGTCAGTAGGCTTTCCAATATTTTCTTCTGTTACATAGTGCCTACCACCCTTAAGGCACTTGAATACTAGAGTATAGTAAGTCAAACGTTTGATGTTTATCGAATGAGATTACAAAATATTTGGTTTTGTCAGTGTATCAAACAAATTTTTACATTGATAAATGTTCTCTAGGAATGTGACTACATTCATCAGGTGTGAACTCTTGTAAATGAATTTTGTATCTTGAATCCACGTATATATTAAGTGTATCATCAATATAAAAATAAATATTATTTGCTTAAAAGTTATTGGTACTTCTTCAGCATCGTTGACAGATTGTTACACTATTAGGTTTGCTTTTTTCAGATAACACCTGGAAGGCTTTAAAACTGACCTGGGTTTGTGCATTCAATGTTTATTCTTCTAGTCTGTACATTTTGTTTTTTTCCTGCCCTGGTCCTGGTGGTCACAAGTGGAACGTATGCAGAGAGGAGGACTGTTGAAGAATCAGGCACAACCATCTTACCCCTTGGGTGTTGGGTTTGGGGTCAGGAACTAGGCTTTCCACGGGTTCCTATGTGATGAGGGAGGACAGACTTCCCGTGGTCACAGTGACAAGGACCTCTAGTTCCTTTAACATGGAACGCCCCATTTGGCATTGAAGAGTCCAGAGGCCCGACTTAGGCCTCCACTTTGCACTATGCCTTTGTTTTTTTTTGAGGGGGGGGTTGAGTCTCACTTTGTTACCCTCAGTAGAGTGCCGTGGTGTCATAGGTCACAGCAACCTCAAACTCCTGGGCTTAAGCAATTCTCTTGCCTCAGCCTCTCAAATGGCTGGGACTACAGGCGCCCGCCACAACGCCCGGCTCTTTTTAGATACAAGGTATCGCTCTGGCTCAGGCTGGTCTTGAGCCTGTGAGCTCAGGCAGTCCAGCCGCCTCGGCCTTCCCAGTATTGGAATTACTGGCGTGAGCCACCGCGCCGACCCCTACGCTGCGACTTTGAATAAGCCAGTTTTTCCCCCTTGGACTTTTTATCCGTCAAAAGGTGGCCCTTTAGTGGACCATAAAGTGAATATAGTGGGCTGCCACCAAAGTGTTTTTACATAAGATGCAACTATCTCCGATCGCATTATGTAACGAGGATGTTGTTCTGGACTCTTTCAGCTGTACGTTACGTGGGTACAGGGATGTCAGAGTGTAACCTACAGTAGGTCACAGGCGCCAGGGAGCTGGAGCTGCCGGCTCCCGTTTGAGAACAGACTAGCTGCGACCACAGTGACAAGATGGCTGCGTGGGGTCCGGCGAGACCGGGATGCGCCAGGCTGTGCGGTCACTGCTGCGTTTCTTTTCTCTTTTTTCTCTTTTTTTGGCGCGGGGGCAGCCTACGTGGGAATAGGCCCGAGAATTCTCCCCAGTAAAGCACCCGGGCCCACAGCACCAACTGGGTGCTTTTCCTTTTGCCAAGACTCCACCCACTTCTCCCGCTCCGCACACACCCGTGAGGGTAGAAAAAAGGAAAAAACAAAGTCCTCGGCGACCCAGTAGTCACCTGCGGCTCCGGCCGCCCGCTGACGTGGCCAGCGACCTGAGGGAGCGCCAAGACAGGCGCCCGCGCGCTCCAGTCGTTCCGCCCGCGCGCAGGCGCAGGAGCGTGTAGGTGCCTCCCCCGCGCGCAGTCACTTCCGGCGCGCTGGGGACGTGCGGTTCCGGGTCGCTGCTCCGCTCGCCGGCTGGCAGTGGGGGCTGGTGACGCGGGCGGGCGCTCACGAGAGGCCCCGGAGGCGGGGCTCTGCTGGCTGCCCGGAGAGCGGCAGGTGCGCGGGCCGGGACTCCGGAAATGCGAGCAGGCCCCTCGTTCTCCCGCTGGCCTTGGTCTGTCCCCAAACCGGCCCGGACGGGGTTGCCCAAGACCCAAGGCGGGGGGCGGTACCGGGGTCCGGTAGGGGCGGAGGCGGGCTCCCTGGCCTGGGAGTCTGGAGCCGAGGGTTCCAAGATTCCTTCCTGCGCGACCTTGGACAAGTCGCTCCTTGTGTTTGGTGCTTAGTTTCCCTGCTGTCAAATGGGAGATGTTGGGTTCTTCCTTTCTTCGACTGTCCAAACACAGGCGGGGCTGGTGGGAACTTGAGAGTGAGCTCCAAACTGCCGTGGCAGGTTTCTGTCTGCCTTCTTGGGCGTTGGGCATCTGTCTTTTACCCAACTCTGCCTGCCTTTTTCTCAACAACTTACTGCGAATCAGGGCTCCATGACCAGACAGCCCCAAATCTGGCCACGTAAACTGTGTAAGTGTGAGAACAACTGAGAAATAAATGCTGGCCCAGGGAAACCTTGCTCTCAATTCACATTGTTTTGCTCACGGCTCCCAAGGAGAGTAAATTTAGGCATTTACTGCAGTGAGCGATTCTATTCTTTGTGCCTGTAGGTGAAGCTCTTAGGCAAATCACAAATAGGAGACCGGGGTTCGAGAGGGGAGCTCATGGAGAGTTATGCAGTGACAACTTTTCTTCCCCTTCTTAATTCTCCCTTCATCCTCTTTCTCTACTTCTGTCCTGTTACCTCCAACTACCATTTTGGCCTTACACGTGAAAAGAAATACCCAACGCATTTTATCTTTGTCTTCACGCAGGACACAATGGTTTGACCTCCAAGATGTTTAAAATCTGGTAGATAAGCCAGGTGAGTAAGTGGTTTACAGACATGGAAGGTAAAGTTTTGGAAGAATGGTGCAGTCTTAATGGATGATCTGAAGTCATTTGTAGATCTTAAAGGAGAGCTTAGGTATCCTCCACAAAACATGGAAAGTTAAGGTTGGAATCAAAATATTAGTATTTCATACACCATTAGAAGAAAAGGTGTTTGCATCTCATGTTGACTCTGACAATGTCAAACATTCTGAAGAAAAACTGTCACTGGGCGGCGCCTGTAGCTCAGTGAGCAGGGCGCTGGCCCCATATACCCAGGGTGGCGGGTTCGAACCGTCATGGCCAAACTGCAACAAAAAATTAGCTGAGTGTTGTTGTGGTGCCCTATAGTCCCAGCTACTCAGGAGACTGAGGCAAGAGAATCACCTAAGCCCAGGAGTTGGAGGTTGCTGTGAGCTGTGACGTTATAGCACTCTACCGAGGGCGATAAAGTAAAAAAAAAAACAGAAAGAAAAACTGTGATTATAGGTAATTTTATCAGAATCAAAACCACACAGCATTTCCAGGGGAAGTTTAAGGATATGTCGTATCTGCACATTACAGTTGTTTGGCCTGCTTTTTTTCTAGGTTATCTGTTTTTTCTAGAGAGCAGATAATTGCAAACCATCCTGGAACATTAGAATGTTACACCTTTTCTCCATATTGAATTATATATGTTTTTGCCTTCAACTTAAAAAAAAGAAGCCACTTAGTTATAATTAAATTCACAGGGAAGGATTTGAAAGCATTAAGTCATGATTACATGATGTTAATGTTTGCCCTGGGATATTTTTCCAAATGTGCCTTATATTAGCATCAACATGGTATAATAAAAAAAAAAGTTTTTGAAGTAGGGATATGTGAATCAGAAACTTCTGTGTTCAAATACCAGCACTGCCGCTTAACCACATAATCTTTAGCAGGTTATTTCACCTAGAGCCTGGATTTCCTCATCTGTATGTGCACATGAAGCACTCGAGTACGTTTTAAATGTTTAGTAATTGTGTTCTATTAAGTGTTTTTAAATGTTTAGTAATTGTGTTCTATTAAGTGTACATGTAACTTATGAAACTTAATTTTGAAACCTAAAGCTTAGCATAGCAACTCAGATGTGAAATCTTTCCAGTGTTTAACTCAGAGCTGTTTCTTTGATCTGATTCATAGATACTGTGTTGCCATAACCCCTTGGCCCACATTTAAGTGGGACTGCAGCTAGCTTGGATGTCTGAAACTTTTTAGGCATCTGTGTCTGAACCCTGGTCCCTGGCCTGAGGACTACTGAGAGCTGGTTATTTGTGCAGGATAGCCAAACAGCAAAAATGTTTGCAAAGTTAAAGAAGAAAATTGCAGAAGAGACTGCTGTTGCTCAGAGGCCAGGAGGTGCTACTAGGATCCCACGGTCGGTGAGCAAGGAATCCGTTGCCTCTATGGGAGCTGACTCAGGAGATGACTTTGTAAGTGTCTTTGTTTTTAAAATTATGCAAAGAATCTTTTCAATAAATATTTCTTTTAAAATTGCATGATTGTTTCATACCTTTTGTACAAAGCCCTGCACATCTGATTTTTCTTCCTCTTAGATGCCTTTTTGTTAATGTTTGGTTTGTTAATCTTAAGGTACTTTATTGTTTTTCTGTGCATATCTTTCCATGTTCTCTACATTGTCCTCTTGTACTGTTTTTCTATCTGTATGCCTTATAAATCTTTCACATTTCATCTCTCAAAATGTAAAAGCTTGTTTTCTTTCCAGACATAATACTTTGAAGTCATTGTTCCTTAACAGGGTCTATGAGTAGGGAAATGTTATGCTTAATGATTTAAGTGTATCTTTGGCATATAATAGAATCCTCTTAAGTTAGAAATTTATTGTAAAATTATTTATAAGGCCAGGTATAGTTGCCCATGCCTATAATCCTAGCACTTTGGGAGGCTGAGACAGGTGAATTGCTTGATCTCAGGAGTTCAAGACTAGCTTGAGCACCAGCAAGACTCTATCTCTGCAGAACAGCGGGGTGTTGTGATGGGCGCCTGTAGTCCCAGCTACTCAGGAGGCTGAGGCAAGAAGATTGCTTGAGCCCAAGAGTTTCAGGTTGCTGTGAACTATAATGCCATGGCATTCTATCAAGGGCAAAAAAGTGAGACTCTGTCTCAAAAAAAAAAATTATTTATAATGCTTGATATATATATATAAGAATGTATGTAATGTATATGCATACATTAAAGTGCTAAGTAAAGGTAGATATATCACCCATCTGAAGAATTGTCAGTACTGTTGAAGCCACTTATATACTCCTTCCCAATTCTCTCTTTCTCCTCCAAATAACTACTTTTTGTTTATCATTTCCTTGCTTTTTAAATTAACTTACCAGATATGTATGTATTCACAAATGATTTATTGTTTAATACAGGTTATTTTTGAACCTATAAAAGTGGCATATCATAGACTTTTTGGATTGCTTTTTTAAAAAACTTAACATAGTTTTAAAATGCATCTGTGTTACATGAGGTTGCTCTTCATTTACTTTTACTGCTGTGAAGGTTCCAACATTCAAAAAGGCCTAATTTATCTCTCTTCTGGTGATAGACATTTGAGTTGTTTCCATAGTCAGATGAGCCTTCCTCCTCCTCTCTATGCCACCTGAATCCTGGGTCACATTACATGGTGGAAGCTATTAGGTTATTGGGGTGGAGCAATAAGATTCATTGGTTCCTATATTTAATAAGAAAAAAAGTCCACATTTGAACACCAAGCTGAAGATGCTCAATACTGAGTTCTGCAGAAGGTTCTGCTTTGCCTTCACACTGATATGCTAAATAAAGTCTGTATCTGTATGCCAGATATAGAGATTGACCTGAATTCAGGAAATACTTGGAGACTTCTCAAGTAATCTATTTGAATTTACTACAGCCTGATCCTCCCTCTTTATCTTCAACTGCATATAATTCTCTGTATAGATTCCTTTCATATGCAGTAGCTCAAATTCTAAATGAACAAAATGGGATTCACTAACTCTATCTTGAAAGGTACATCTTCATTCTATCAAGTCATTAGCTAATAACCTTGGAAGCATTTTAGGCTCTTTCCTCCTTCCTCTTCTTGATGTTCAGTCAGTCAACATGCATGTATTGTGGCTTCCATTTCTTTTTCTTTTTTTTTTTTTTTTT